CACCTTCAGGCCCTGTCATTTGTGGATTAGACAGTGTCCACATGGATCTTGTGTCTCCATGACCACCTTGGGCAAGAGTGAAATGCATCCTGATCTTCACTTCCTGTCAAAATTTCTGTTCCAAACATAGGTTAACAAATATGACAAACCAAAGAGTTAAAAAAAAATAGATTCTAAGGGCTGAGGATTTAGCTCAGTGGTTCCGTCACCTGCCTCACAAGCTCAAGGTCCCGAGTTCAATCCCCAGTACAAAAAAAAATAGATTCTATAGTTTCAGCCACAGTGAAAAACGACCACTATTCCCCCACGCCACCCCCGCCAGAGAAGGCATCGGCTGGAGGACTGCCAGGAAGACTTCCCTGTTCCTGATAAGTCAGAGAAAAGAGACATCACTGCTTGGCAGGGTGGCACACACCTGTAATCCCAGCATCTGGGAGGCTGAGGCAGGAGTATCATGAGTGTGAGCCCAGCCTGAGCAATTCAGAGACTCTGCAAGACCCTGTCTCAGAATATGAGAGAAGGGCTGGGGATGCAGCTAAGTGCAAAGGCCCCAATCCAGTCCCTGGCCCGGGCAGGTCCTGGCGAAATGGAGGCAGGGAGTAGATGTCCCTGTCCTCAGGCCAGCCCAGGGCTCCATTACAGAAACCACCCTCACGCAGCAGGGGGTCAGGAGACTGAGTTAATGAGCAACCGCATTTGTTAAAAACAAGGCCCGATGGGGCCGGGGATTTAGCTCAGTGGTTCCGGCGCCTGCCTCAAAAGCCTAAGGTCCCGAGTTTGATCCCTGGTACCAAAAAAAAACAAGGCCCGAAACAGAATGTATGTGGAGACAAATACTCCACTCTTCCTCAAGGCAAGGTTTGAAAGTATCTCCCCACTCAACGGTAGCAACCCTTTAAACCTGGGAGACAGTCTAGGAATGTTTTGTGGAATCTTTGAACCAGGACCCAAGAGTGGAGAGGACGTGATTTGCTGGAGGAGTGGGAGGATTTCAGAAAGAAGAGCGAGCTGTGGAGCCAGTAGTTAGGGGACAGGGGAAGCCCCGGCCCCGCCTACCCGGGAGTGGGCGTACCGGGCGAGGCTGGCTACTGAGCTACAATCCCAGCGCTGGGCTCACTAAATTGCCAATTTGGTCTCCAACTCGTGATCCTCCTGCCTCACTTCTCCCAGTGCTGAGACGACAGGCTCGTATCCCCACACCTAGCTCAGGGGCAGCATTTCAAGGGGATTGGTCCGATGTGATTCGGTAGAAGAGGGTCTAGTGCAGCGATGGCGAACTTCCTAGAGATCGAGTGCCCAAACTGCACCCCCTAAACCCACTGATTTATGGCAAAGTGCCAGCACTGCAACGCTGCCTTCCACCCGAATACCCACCCTTGGCACTGACCCGCCCTGCCTCGAGGCGCCGCTTGTGATGTCATCGCCTGGCGCCGGCTGCAGCGGCCCCCTGGGCATTATGGAGCATTGGAGGGAGAAAAGACAATGAAAGGCACTTGGAAGATTCAAACTCACAAATGAGCAAACAAAAGCAGCCCTAACAAAGAGAGATAAAAGCCAAAGCATTGGTCAGCAAGAACCGCTTGGGGGCGCCGCAGCAGCATTACTCCCCTGGGTCCGCCCGTAGCTCCCTCTGCCTGCAGAAGCGCGCCCCGCCGGCCCGGCTCCGGAGCCCGGGCTAATGAAGTGTTAAGCCGAACTCCGGGGTGCTGTTCTCTAGAGCGCTCAGCACGTGGGACCAACGCCGCACAATGTGCGCTAGCTGCCCTGCGACCCTGCCCTCCGGTGCCCGAGTCCAGGCGGCCGTGGGGACGCTTACACCACGGCGCAGGCCCCTGTACACACGTATGGGTTCTGACCAGACAGGAAGCCCCAAAACACCTGCGCAGCAAGGGAGGGGCACTGGCTGGATGGCACAAACCACTGGCTTCCATCCTACATGTACTGTACTAAACTTAAAAATACTTCAAACACATGGAAGCGTCACCCAAAATAATTACACTTAAAGAAAAATGGATTGGGATGTAACTCAGCATGCAGCAGCCCCGGGCTAAACTAGTACCACAGAACATTCACCATCAAGAAAAGCAGGCCTCTCTAAGCTATTTTGCTTTGGGAATGCCCTCTGGCCAGACTAATAAAGGTCTGTTTTATTTTCAAAAAAAAGAAAAAAAGAAAAAAGAAAAACTGACCACAGGATTTAAGGCTGCTAATTTTTAATTATCTCAACCACCTCAACTTTAAACAAAAAGCTGGTTTGACTGGAGTGGCAGTGCACGCCTGTAATGCCAGGTCTCGGGAGGGAGAGGCAGGAGGATCGCTGGGAGTTGGAGGCCTGCCTGGACTACAAAATGAAACCTTGGGCTGGGGATTTAGCTCAGTGGTTCTATCTCCTGCCTCGCAAGTGCAAGGACGCGAGTTCGATCCCCAGTACCAAAAAAAAAATGAAAACAAAGTGAAACCTTGCCTCAAGCTAAAAAAAAAAAAAAAAAAAAAAGGGCCTGGGATTTAGCCCAGTGGTTTTGCCACCTGCTGTGCAAGGGCAAGGACCAGAGTTCGATCCCCGGTACCAAAAAATGAGAAAAAAGCTAGGGATTGAACCCAGTTCTACATGCATCCAGTTCCTTTACGTTCACCAGTACTTTAGACACCCTCAAAATCTTTAAGGGTTGGGGATGTAGGCTCAGCATGAAGGCCTTGGTTCAATCCCCAGCACTGCACTATGAAGGCATACTTTGCAGCAGCCCCAGCACCTTCCATAGACCCTCATCAGGGCAGCCCCACCTAGTTTTCCTGGACCATCCTGATGCAAAAGTCCCGTCTGTGTATGAGGACAATGACCAAGTCCCACATTCCCAACATTATTAGCCACCAACTTTCTCAGGATTGGTTTCCAGATCTAATTGAAATGTTTCCACAAATACCCACCAGAACACTGGGCTTTGCAATGCCTGTCCAGAGGAACCTCTTCAAGATACTAGGGAAGCTGCCACTTTTGTATGCCCTTCCTACCAAGCACTGAACAGACTTGCACCCGAACTAGCCTGCTGCTGCAGTGACCACCAGGGATAGTGGCTGAGGTTCTGGATCTAGGTGCTCACTTAAGCGGTGAATCAATGAGTTCCAACATGGCAAGCACTTCTGCTGACAAAATGAAAGGACACCATTAGTGGTCTAGGGTGAGATTAATGATTTCTCAAAATACTGTACACATTTTCTGATTCCTAAAGCTAGGGCTGTTTTAAACCTGTTCCTCTTAGTTATCGTAAAATTAGGAAAAGCACAAATATGCACTGCCTCAGTCAACAGCTTCCAATCTTTCAGTAACTATACTTAATGTCATCTATGTAGGGTTGTATTTTTATTAATGATCCTTCTACAGGTTCTTTCCCATCACTTTCTAATACCATCTTCCCACTATTCCAGAAACACTCATACCACAAAGATCTCAGTATTTCAGATTAAGTCCATGTAACACAACTTCAACACTCCACTACTTACATAGTCACTTACAAAACAAGTCTAAGACCAGTAAAGAGTAACATTTGCTTACCTTATGGTTACCACAAACCACGGACACACTGAACTCTTGATCCTCCACCTCCCACTCTAAATCCCATAATAAAAACATAAGCAAAGGAAACAAAACACCACTATTTTGGAATGCAAGAACTTTATTGAAAGTGCAATGGACCTTCTTTGTGTGCTTAAAACATAGAGGAAGCTCAGATACCTCCCCTCAGACGGAGCACCAGGTGCAGGGTGGACTCCTTCTGGATGTTGTAGTCGGACA